ATTGTTAGTACAGCTACCTTACCATTTTTATTTAATACATAATAAAATATGTATACTCTAAATTACAATTTTATTTAAAAATAAATAGAATAATCCAACAAAAATAAGTATAATAAATTAAATTAAGTTTAAAAACTAATTAACTTTCGATGATTATTGCCTACCTCATTTCACAACCATTATTGTTTTTACAATAATATTAATTGTTAAGTAAAAATTATTAAATGTTCAACTTATTAAATATTCAATACGTCATAAATAGTGAGATGCGGAACTGTCCCAGAGTCGGACTTCAATAATAGTAATGTGGAACCTCTAGATTACAAAGATTTTTTTAATGTCATGGCCGGCATAAAAAATAACAGAAATTTAGGTCTTTGTAGCAAGTTTCGAGGGTTCTGTTGTATGCCAAAGGTCTGTTTTTGTCCGAGAATATTTTAAGGTAATTCTCAAAATGTATAAGTATAAAAATACCAGAGAGATCAACTATAAACCATGTTTTCTCGATAAGGCAAATGCATATACAAAAAAGACTTATATAACATTTTCAAGGGGCCGCAGTGGTCAAGCGAGTTAAGGCGCCTTTAAAAAGAATATGACAAGTGTTCAAATAATGTTCGCGGGAATTATTAACAAAAAAAAAAATAACTTGTAATAAATAAAATAATTAAGTCTCTTACTTGTCTATTTAGACCACTACAGCGCGGGTTCGATTCTCGCATGTAGAACGTCCCCACACTGATATTCATAGGGAGGTGAGCGACCCCCTGTATTTTAAACTATAGCTCCTGGTCCTCCAGGTTGGGGGTTGGGTGTAATGCTGATGCCCTATTCCATAAAAACCAGAGTGGAAGATTGCTGCAAAAGATTGCCAACCATCCTTCAGGAAACTTCCTAATGAAGAGGGAGTGAAATGTTATCGCCTCCGGTTAGTAAACCACGTGCTCCCTGGATATCTCGAAGAAGAGAAAACAAAAAGATCACTAATGTCACCTATAAGAGCCATAAGCTGCTAAAGAAGACTCATGGCTTAAAAAGTCGAAGTTAACAGGCTAAAGAAAAAAATGTATGAAGAAAAACAGAAGTTTATAGATTTTAAAATTAATTCTGTGTATGGCCTGCTTTGATTCGTTTTCTTCCCAATTTCTTCTTTCTCCATCTTCTTATCCTGCCAGGTAATATATTTTCACGCCAACCCAGAAGAAGTGGGTTGAAGAGCTTCTTTCGACCCCCAAACAAAGCTATTAAAGAGTGGATAGTTGCTTTCAGTTAAAATGCAGAACACCGCCTCCCTCATCAAATTATCACTCAGTGCCTCATAATTGGTTCAGGCTACAAGATTATGCTTTGCGGTCTCAAATACTCCACAAGTTTGGCATAAGAGTTCGAAGTTTTTACTATTTTAGTAACAGTAATAGCCGCATAGCCTTTTCTAGACGTAATCCGACAGTGGGAAAGAACTACTCAGTCTGAACCCGTTTGGGGTTGTCACCCATCGCGGGTTTCATTCTTCCAATGTATCCTCCCAAAGGATCATATTCTATCTTTTGGGGTATCTACAAATCCTTTTCTGAATGTTTGCTGGTAAATCCGCTAAGCCACACCTCCTAATACTGTGCATAAAAAGAGCTTCCCGCAGGAGGAGTTCGTAAAGAATACATCCTTCTAAGACATGCACCGCCTCATGAGACACAGTTCTGTATGACCTGGTTCCTCGAAGCAGATCCACCCGCTGGATTGCTACCAACCTGCGCTTCTGGCGGTATGAATGATTCCGGTTCCAGTTCCAGATAGGGGACGCGTATCTTAGGATACCCACTAACTAATAATAACTACTTCTTTATAAATGGACATAGTTGCTGGATATACAAGCCCCCCAAAGGCAATCTCTATGAGACTGAGACTATTAAGGCTTCAGGTCGTCCTACTTCTTAAATAACCCGATTAAAGTTTCAGGTTGAGTCTTTTTCCAATTCTAATTCCTAGATAGGTGTCTGCCTAACTTGCACAACACCCAATCTCTCAAAACCTCCGGTGAGACTAGTGCAATGCCAATTTTTTTAAAGAATCCAACCAACACGATCCTCTTCAATATGGTTTCCGCTACAGCACGCTCCACCCCTCCAACTACCCCTATTAAAATTATCAGTGATATCCAGACTGCTATTGACAAAAAAAAAAATTAACTATTCTTGTCCCCCTTGACTTCTCTAAAGCCTATGACTCCATTAACTATTCAATCCTCTTTTCAAAACTGAAATCATTATCCTTTGCCTACAGTTCCATCTCTTGGATTCAATCTTTCCTATCTTAACGTTCCTTATCAGTTCCATTCCTAATCAACCACTTTCTTTCTATCTTTCTCTGTCGTCAGGAGTTGCCCAGGTATCTAGCATACCTCCTCTTTTTTTTAGTGCCTATATAAACGATCTTCATAAATCGATCCTTAATTGCTTCTATCAAATTTACGCCGACGATTCCCAAATCATTCTCTCCTTCTATGTAATTTGTAGCGTTTGCCAAGATACAAGAAGACCTAGATCGAATCATTGTCTTGGTAAACTTGAACGGTTCAAGATTGAATGCTGCTAAAACTGTGGGCATTGTCATTGGTTCCAAGTATCTTTTCCGATCCAATGTTTTTTTCCCTATCCTTCCTTGCGTTTTAGACTTTAAACAGTTTTCCTGGGTCAAGGGGAGCAGCAGGGCGGGAGATAATACCAGAGGCACTGAGCCGGGAATATGTAATAATTTTGTAATCTTCAACTTAGATTATCAGGTCCTAAATAATTATATAATAATAATACATACCAAAGCGATGAAGATATTGACAAGAATCGTAGCTCTTTCTTCACAGGAAATTTGATGTTTTAACTGATTAGGCTAATACCCGATTCCTGGAACAAGCTAATTTTCCTCCTATGTCCTCTGTTGTAAAAAAAGTCGAAAAATTAAAATTATATTTAATTTAGTGACTTATTGATATACTAAGAAACAACCAAATAATACCTGACCATCAGTTTGGATTCAGGGCACATCACTAAACTGTACACCAACTACATACAGTAACGGATTACATATCTACAGCAATAGAGCAGAAAGTATATGCAACTGGCGTATTTCTGGATGTTGCTCAAGCGTTTGGCAGAGTTTGGCACCAGGGTCTTCTCTTTAAACTCAAGACAATACTCCCACCTACATATTATCTAATTATACAATCCTTCCTTTCCGATAGATTTTTCTCGGTCCGACACGGGTCAGAACTATCTTCCATCAGGTCTATCTCAGCAGGAGTACCTCAAGGTTGAGTACTCGCTCCACTACTCTATATCACATACACCCATGACATACCTTGTAGTCCCAACATTTTAACAGCGACATATGCTGACGACACAGCAATTTTAGCAAGACACAAAAATCCAACATACGACTCACAGACCCTACAACAGTATTTAACAAGATTACATGACCGGTTCAAAATTTGGAAAATCAAGACAAAACACAGCACATCACATTTATGCTTCGACATGAAACATGCCCTCCAGTTTTCCACAGATTCCACAGACAGACATCGTTCACTACCTTGGTCTGACATTTGACAGAAAAATGACGCTCACATATAATCAAAAAACGAAAAACATTAAATCAAAGATTAAGAATTCTGAGTTCACTTCTTTCAAAAAATTCAAAACTAAAACTTAGACAGAAATTGAACACATACAATTACTTACTAAAACCTATTTGGACTTACTCATCACAGATATTTGGAACTGCTAAAAAGACTCACTTAAACAAACCTCAAATCTTTCAAGCAAAAACATTCAGAACAATTACAAAAGCACCTTGGTACGTTAGCAACATAACCTTACATACTGACCTCCATATGCCGACTGTTAACGAACACATACGAACTCATTACAAACGATTCCATGACAACTTACAAGGACATCCTAATACACTTATAAATGACATGGCCACTACGAATATTCCAGGTAACGTCTGTAGGAAACTGAAGAGGAGCTGGATGAGGGACCTCCTCGCCTAATGTAGATATCACGCCGAGTGAGGTGCCGCTGGGCACTGATCCTCCTCATGCCTTTCATGACAATTCTATTAATCAATCGATCTCACATTCACTAGTTGTCATTAGCATTATGACAGGTGTGAATAAAACATTAAAGCTAAAAAAAATATTTCATTTATTCAGTTAATCAGTCATAAAAAACAGTTAAATACCTAATAATCTATTTCTGAAACAAAATTAAGAAGAAAATATGATCTTGGTGATGGAGTTCTGCTCTTCACTCTTTCTTTTTTTATTTTTTAATCTACCCTGTTTAATGTAATATAAAAATGAATTCTAACAACTCTTTGTATAGCTAAATTAATACTTTTTAAATTCTAAACTTATTTAATGTTTGACAGTTGAATATATCTTATAGACTATGTAGTCTACTAATGCCTTTAAGCTTTTAAAATCAATTGATCTATTATCGCAAAATATTCTCTTGTGTCAGGTTTAAATGGCACAGCAATCGATGATGGGTCATTCAGAAGTCCTGGTAAATGATCAGATAGAAACGGAATTCAGACCGAAAGATATCACGAACAATAAGAAGCTAAATGAAATGCTTAAATTGATTGATTGGTCGATGTTGGAGTTTTCCATTTGCTACTGCCTAGGGTAGAACTAGTTTTAAACGAATTACTGAGCTTGAAACGAGGACATGGCCAAAAGGAAGCCAAATGACGTGTTTGCTGAGGTTGACAAATATTTATTAGTTTTCAAAATTGTCGGTTTGTTTTATTTGAATTATTCGCAGGGTGAATTCAAAATATCGAGAACGTTTTTTGTCTCGAGTTTTTTTACATTGTGGCCCTTTCTGGCTTACAACAGTTACTTTTTCTACAATGAATGGTCGAAGATCGATGGTCTTTATTCCTTCCTCATTTCAGCCCGAATCATCTTAGCTGCTTTTAGCGTATTCGTTGTGTGGCTCATGTGTAGCCTCAGGTTGCAAAGTTTGAACAGGTGTCTCAGAAAGATACAGCTGGTTGATCATTACTTATTTTCAGTAGGCGAGCAAATCCCTCCTTCTAAACAAAGTAAGATAATATTGCTAACAATCGTAACACTACTTCTCCCATTAGGTGTGTGGTGGTTTTATTACAGGAATTATATTCTATGTTTTATCTTGTTCTCGATATTTTATCCTTACATTTTGATGTTGATGACCCATTTGATTTTGGATAAGTTGTGCAAAATACTCTTTCTGCGTTATCAAGCTGTTACCAATGTTTTACGGCGATGTCTCTCCTTGCGAGGTAATAACGCGACATTGCAGTCGGAGAAAATGGCATTCTGCTACGAAAATCTCTGTTCATCGAGCGAAAGTATCAACCATTTCTTTTCCATACAGATTTTGTTCATCCTCACATCGGTTTTCATCACATGCTTCAGCGAGGTTTATGCTATGATACAAGTTTTCGTCATGACAGATTTTCGAAGCCGTGATAAATTTTTTATAACTCATGTATGCTGGGCTGCTATTACCATTCTAACGATTTGGCAATTCGGTTATAGATTTTCTTCAATTGCGGAAAAGGTATGATTTAACTATTCTTTTTATTTAGGAATTTTCCAATACTGTGTTTATTCTATAAAAAATATCATTAATTTTTATTATTCTATTTAAATATCATTTATTAAGTGGCATCATCTTAATCCTTTCCCCCTCTACCGCTGTGCAGTGTGCAGATGTCCTCTATAGCCCTAGGACCAAGTGCCCCTTTCCTGTATAAGTTCAATCCAGTGCACTTCAGTTCCAGGCTAGCCCTCGCTTCCTGAACACCTCAAGCACCCATCACTAGCGTATCCAGAGTTTAATTTTGAGAGGGGCTTCAGCCTAAAAGATTTTTTTTCATGTACATATAACAACAATTAATTAGAAAAAAAATAAAGAAATTAACTACCAATATGAAATGGTGTTTATGTCGTTCTTGAAGTCCTATTAAATGTAATTAAACGAATAAGAATACTTTAACAGAGAGTTTTAATATTTTTTCTGTGAAACATGGTTATATTTTATTATTTTGGAGGGAGGGGGAGCTTCAGCCCGAAAGCCTCTCCCTCTCCCCCCCCCCGTAAATCCGCCTGTGATACTCATCCTACCTTCCACCAGGTGATCTGTGGATTTCCTTTTGGTGTTTCTTCCGCCTACTCGTGTATCATACGTTATCCGGACTGTTCTTTCCATATTCATCTTTAGAATACCCAAATAATCTCAATTTATTCTCTTCTATATGATTTCTACCGGCTGCACCTCGATGTTTGATCTTATTGTTATGTGGATCCTATCTCTCCTGGTCTTTCCTTCTTATTTTATAAGGTATCTCATCTCCATTGTCTGGATCTGAATCTTGTATGGGTCCATGATTTGAAGGAGTAAGATAGGATGGGCAGGACTTCATTTCTTCGTCACCTCTCTTTTGTTGAGGAAACCTTTCCGGATTAAGTGGAACATTCTTAGAGCTGCACACAGTCTTTGCGGCGCCCCTCCATCGATATAGCCGCTTTCGTTGATACAGACACCTAGATATTTGACATCCTGGTACTGTTCCAAGATCTGTCATTTCAATCTCAATATTCTCATAATACGGTATGGACGTCTTCCTATTCTCGTATAATTTGATTTATCTTGATTAATCTTGATATTAATGCTCTTTTAATATGATATTTATCATCAGCAGCGAATATGACAAGTTCTTCGGTAAAAGGAAAGATTGTCCAGAAAGTAGGATGTAGGTTTCTATCCCAAATTGAAATTCTGTCCCAATTCGGACTTAGCTCTCCTGAACGCCTGATCCATCACTAATACAAAAAGTAGAGGACTTAGGCTGAACCCCTGGCGTATTTCCTACGTCCTACCAAACTCCTTGGACGTATGGTTTCTAGTCCCTTAATATTTCTAGTTTTTAGACAGAGACTCCCTGCTGATGTCAACTTGCTTTTCAAATATATCCTTATTTTTGACTATGTCAAATGTCTTTTCAAGATCCACGAAACAGACAAAAAGTTCTTTCTCTTTCTCGATGGACTTTTCTATGACCTGCCTCAAAGTCATAATCAGATCCTGTGTACTCCTTCAGTTTCTAAATCCATACTGCTTCTTACTCTTACTGGCCCTCATACGCATACTGGCACTCAAACACTCTTCTTATCCTTGCTTCTATGATTCTAGGATTCTCGATTAGAGCTTAAAAGTAATATATAGAAATGCAAAACTTTTATATCTGTTTTTTTTTTTTTAATTTGAAAGATTAGTTGAATTCTTGGAATACAATTACTTATCGATATCTACTTTTAGGCCAGAGAGTTCCACTCGCTTCTGTACCGACTCATGACCGAAGACAATTCAATGGAAACTATGCAAAACGTGAGTATCTTTTACATTATATTCCAAATGAGTAAAAACATCGGAAAAACGGTACATAATTATTTCCGACGTTTTTACACCTAAGATTAACTATATACACAAATATAGTTAATCTTAGGTGTAATTTAAGGAGATGTTGGTCTTTAGCAACATAAAAAAAAAATCTCTTAATTACCTCACACAAAAATAACGTCTTTTTTTTTTAATTTATATATTGTATTCCCCATCTCAGATGTTTAATAATCGCAGATCGTACCCATTTTGCTCATTCCAGGAGATGGAGATGGTGGCTAGATTAAAATTAGACAAAATCTGTGAATTACTGGTACTTATTTTTACTTACCATCTGACGGAAATCGTTCTCAGAGAGTTCATATAGTCCGGTTTCCCTCAGCAGATTGGCCCTTTGTTCCACAGAGATAGGATTCATGACAATGTGCCCAGCAGACTTAGACACTGCATCCAGCGCATAACTATCAGTGCCGGCCTTAGACAATGGCATCATTTCCTCTCTCCCCTAAAACATTAAATTTATTTCTTAACCTGTTTTATATCATATAATATTTAAATTTTACTTCATTTAATATTTCTCTAATACAGTTGCTTTATTGATAGGCTAAACTTAATCATTTTAATACGTTTCGTATTTTTTTTTTAATTTCTAACAAGTGATTTACAAAAGACTTTAGTTGTCAGAGCACAGGGGCAATTGTCCCCACCCAAGACCGGGTGATAACTATAATTGATAACTATGCCCAATGATATGCATAACTATTTCCCTTAGACTATTCTCCCTTCGGTCATTCTAAAAAAAAAAATCTCCTTTTATATGAACAAGAAGCAGTACGTTTCACTCAGTAGTTTTCTTCGTTAAACCCACTCCATTCTTCTCCCATGTTCTTAGAAATTATATTTACGAAATAATTTACAAAAGAATGAATGATTTACTCTCGGATAGCTTTACAACTGTTATTATTTGAATCATTAAATCGATAAAAATATTTTCTCATAAAACTGTATTTTTTTTAACAGGAAAAGTTAAGACTCCACTTCACGATGAAACGAGAAGTATGCTTCACAGTCTGTGGTTTGTTCAAGTTGGATTACACCCTCGTTCTTTCGGTGAGATTTATAAACTGAAATATTTAAAATATTGCTACTGTTAGTGCAAATGTAACGATTTTACATGTTTTATTTGTTGAAGCCCTTCCGTGTCATTGAGGCAATGTGGGTTTTGTAGAACTGAGTTGTTACACATGACTACATCATTAACTTCCTACTCCTACATGAAACTCATCAAATCACCTGCTATTTGCTATTATCTATGTGCTCTGGTGTTTCTTATTCCGCTCCTCCTCCTTGTCCCGGTTATCTTCCAGGAGCTGGTCCTCTCCTTATTTATGTGTGCTGGACCTATTGTTTCTTTCCACCCGTATACAAATTCCTAGTAGTACGGGTAATTTCTTGTGAAACTAGCTAGGGGAAATCGTTCTCTGTGAGAAGATAGAGACCGGTCTCCCTCAGTAATTTCGTCCGTAGCGACTCAAAGGCGGCGCAGTTCATGATGATGTGCTCAGCAGTCTTCGGGATCCGACAGCTAGGACATAGGGGATCGATGTCTTTGTACGGTGAGAAAGTACTTACTCAAGACGGTCTCTTTCTGATTCTCATCCACCGTCGATTCCACTCTTCAATTGCATCCTCCTGGATTATAGTTTTAATGTTTCTGAGATTTTCACCGATCTTCAGGGGAGATTTCCCGGTAGACCTGCTGAACCATCTTTCATGAATGTATACTTTAACATATCTTCTCACAGGAGGAGTTTGAGGGGCAACCCTTCCGCTAATGCATGCGCCGCCTCATGAGACACACTCTTGTAATACTTGGTGACTCTCAGCAGAGCCGATCTCTGAATTGTCGCAAACTTGCTCTTCTGTCGGTGCGAGAGATTCCGATTCCAGGCAAGGGACTCATACCTAAGAATAGCTACAACCGTACTTTTATAAATAGTTATTGTTACCGGGTATCTGCGGCCCCAGAAAACGCTACTTACAACACTAAGGCCGTTCATAGATTGGGCCACCCTATTAGCCAGATAGCCCAAGTGAGGAGTGACGTTGAACACTCTTCAAGTCTGACACCAAGGTAAGTGACCACCTTACTTGGGCGTATTCTTGTTTATTCTCTTTGCGCTTAAGGTGCCATATTGTATCGGTAACTTACAAGTCACCAAACAATAAGTCATGGATGGCCATCCTCCTCTCCCCAAGATCGATGATGCATGAACTCTCTCCCCTTCTCCCAAGATATCTTATTGCTCTCATCTTCTTAAAAACAGTGCAAGCTAGTTAAATTTTAAAAATAATAGGTGATATACAGTGACATTTTCAGTGGCTTGTTCTTTGGTTTCCTCTTGATTCCTGCTATAAGTAGTCACCTAAATAGGAAAATAGCAGAGGGAAATTGAATATGAAATTATGCTGATAAATTATAAACAAATAATCGGTTATAAGAACTCAATTTTTAATACGACCTTTTGCATTATCAGTAGCGATATATAATTTTAATAGCTAAAATTTGTATTAAAGAGATTCAAAACAGAAATAAATATAGATAGATATTGAACTGAATATAAATATTGATATATGTCAATTTCCCTATCGCTCTACAAAAGATGTTTAAGTAGATATGGAAATACATTCTCTTAGGATGGGTAGGATTTTCCGATTTCTTCAGTCGGGTTTTATTTAAATTCATATATTTTTTTTATCTTTTCAATCTCGTCTTGTTACTAAAATCTAATCTAAGTTAATTAATCTAAATTTCAGTTAAATATTTATCATTACTACATATACAGATTATTCGTAAGTAGAGGAAATTTTTTATAGGAGTGATAGATCTATAAAAAAGTTTATATAAACAATAAGCCAATTTCAGCAGAAAAGTATGAAATCTAAGTTTTGTGTTTTTTTGTTGAAACGATAACTAAAGAAATATGTAATTTAAGTTATTAAAAATTGCCTAACTTTAAACTAGGCAAAATTTACTTTAAATGAATAGAACCATTTAAAAGGGACCTTTTAGCGATTGAACTAAGCATAATTCTGTTTATAAAAAAATTATAAATTGTTTGCAATTTATATTTATCGTTCTGTAACTATTTGACAGACACCGCAGTTTTAGATAATCTTCCTCGTTTCATAAGCTTTAACTCCGTATTAATTAAGTTGAGATTAATCTGGTAATAATTTGAGATTCACCTCAAGTTGTGTAAAAAAATAATGCATTTTTGCTGGAATATGTCATAATAAACATAATTGCCTGAATACACTATATATGAATATAAAATAAAATAACTAATATAAAAAAAAATGTTAAAAATGATGATTTTTCAAATATCTTTTCCGGTAATGTGTTTATGAAACTGTGTTTTTCATCCAGATCTGTGTTAGAGAAATATACGGACAATATATAAGGGACAAACTAATCTTCATAATAAAGGTTTCTTTATTTTAAACGAACATTTTAGGAACAGAAACATTTATTTTGTCAATTATAAATCCAGGATTTAATTTTTTTCGGGGGAAGGAGGCAAAACAAGAAATACAAGCTTTGCAACGGTTAATAATAGGAATTTGTGCTAAGAACATTGGTACTTTTAGGTGACAAAATGAAAAAGCGCATTTTTTTTTTTTTTATACAACTGAGGTGAATCTCAATTTTTTTGCCTGGTAAATATCAACTTAATTAATATGGACTTAAAGTTTATTAAACGAGGAAGCTTTTCTAAAAGTGGGGTATATGTATTATAGTTAGATGATGAAAGAATAAAATTGCGAATAATTCATGATTTTTTTAAAAACACAACTTAACATAGTTTAACCGCTCAAAAGTTCTCTTTGAATGGTTTTAATAATCACAAAGTTTAATTTTATTTAAATTAATTATTTCTTTAGTTATCTTTTCTTGTTCAACAAAAAACACAACTTACTTAAAATAACTCAAAACATGGATTTCCTGCTTTTCTGCTGAAAATTGCCCCATTTTTGTAAATTCTTTATATAATTTATTGTTTAGCTCTTTGGATCTGCTATCATTCCTATAGAAATTTATCTCTACTTAGAGAACAACCTGTATATTTGGTTCCTCTGCTGAACACTGCTCTCTGTTTCTTTCAGATGATGGCATCGGCTACAACACATCTCGTTTTGATGATTCAGTTCGGACAAATCACTTCTGACACAGCAGGGACACAAACTCCTATTATTTTCAACAACCTGACCTCGACTCTTCCGATGTGGTCGAGCACTGAGAACTCCTCGAACTGAATCATAGGCAATGGTACTGGGAGAAGACACGTCCCGCCCTCCTCCATTTTTTATAAAGGGCACAATCCATCTAATATTTTGGGAATAATTTTATTAAATAACTCACGAAAAGTTATTTATTATGTTATTATAATATTACTATTATTCTATATTACTATAATAATCATATAATAATAATAATAATATTATACTAAAGACAATTAATTTTTATGCTAGGTCGGATAAAATAATTAATAATACTAATACAAATATAAATACAACAAATAATAAACTAAAACAAAAGTATAATTTACAATAAAGGTCTATGTTTTGTAATAATGGTCCCGTTAGGACCATTCGTCTAGCTAAGTCAACACCAGTCGACTAATTTTTGCATTTGGATTAAAATATTTCAGAAACTAAAAATTGGAACTGCATACTGTAAGCGAGGGAAATGTTCAACATTCCACTTTTTTTTTTTTAATAAGCTATTATTCAAAGCTGTATTTTGACGTTACACCGAGATAGAGAATCGAAAACGAAAAATGTAGCGCCAAAAAAACAAACAAATGATAACGACTTTTACATATTAAACATTAAGAACAAAATATCTCAACATTTTAATACTGTGGAGAATTCAGAAACTAATTTGCAGAAGTCAATAAAGATATTTTTTTGTTTTGTTTTGTTATTGTTACATTTCTTTTCGTCTATTTGATATTTATATTTTTTGTTGTTACATTTGTTTTTGTTTACAATTTCAATAATATGAATATAATACAATAAATATGAATATGAAAATAGGAATTATTAGTGCCTTATCAGTACTATCGTTGTTAAGATTATAAACATTGGTAGATGGCAGTCGGTCCCGACCGGCTATTTAAGGAGTACCGAAATTTCTATGTCGATTTCTCTAAACACGAATCGAAGCCTTTAGTTGGTTTTTTGAAATTGGATTTGGATATGTCTAATGATCCAAATGAAAACAAAACAAAATATCGACAGCCACGCTGCAAGAACAAAAACTCAAAATTTTTCAGGAGGCGAAAAAAATGCGTAATTTTTGTTCTACGGGCATTATATTTTCGGTTTCATTTTTTTTAGCAGGCCTAAGAGAAAGACGCTCTATGTAACTATGTTTATCGTATTTCTACCAAATAATCTTTTAGAACCATTACTTCCAACTTCTAGCTTTTTAATTACTTTGAATAACAATTATGTGTTAGGTGAAAACAATCATAACTAGTAGGCCCGTGCAAAAAATTCGCACAGCATATTGTTATCAATTAATAAGAAAATAAATTAATGCAACATATCAAAATATAAAGAAATCAAATGTTCCTTTATGGATAAATATAATCAACTAAGGAAAAAAAATTAATTTAAATCTTCATATCTGGTTGGAACCAACATGTATACAAATTTCAGTAAGCTGTATCTTTTATAGGGAATTTAGTAATCTTTTATATAATCATGGGCATAACTAAGGGAAAAGTGTGTAACTTTTTTAGTTATTCGCAAATAAAGTTTGTTTTCTTTCATAAATTGTTTGTCTGAATTTTTGGGGTGATTATAATATTTTTCCCGCATGAAGGAGAAGGAAGCCTTCGAAATTGATAGCTCAATCTTGAGATTTGGTGAAAAATTAACGATGATATGGCTTGCCGATGAAAAACACCATCGATAAATAATATAAACTCGATAAACTCCTCTCTCGATCATAGAGGCCTCAAGTCGAAGACGAAAAGAGACATGTATTCAATGACGGAACTACAATTAACGTCAGGTTGTTTGGATGCGAACCCTATGCCTTGCGTTATCTCGAAAATAATACGTTTTGGGGCTTAAAAACGCAGGATCTGATAGTTCCGGAGGAACTATCCGGGTCTTGCTGTACACATCGAAATCATCAAGATCCAGTTTATCCCGTATCGATCTATAGATCTACCACCGTTCCAGTATTGAGGCCTAGCAAAATGTTTGTATCGACTTTATTTTAGAAAGAAAAATAAAAGTGGAGAATACGATTCGCTAACCCCCCGTTAAATTCTGAATCCAACAGTACCTGACAGGGGTAACCAACAATGGTATTTGAGCATGACAGGAGCTTTTATTTGGTACGAAACCGATTTCGAGCCTTACTGTAATAATATATGTGGGGATAGCATCCATAACTATGTTAATAATGATCAAAGCATGACAGGAACAAATTTGACTGGAAAGCGAGTATTTGATAACACGGGTTATTCACGTTTCTGTCATTTAAAAAAAGAATACAAAGCATATGGGGAAAATTAATTTTAGCTAGTTAATAAAGCTAATTGATACTATAGTCTATGCGAATAACGCTTTATACATTATGTATTACATAATGTATTATGTATTACATATTACATAATGTATTATGTTATACATTATGTATTACATAATGTATTATGTTATAAATACATTATGTATTTACACGACCACCTTTCATTGAGCATTCCATTACACAATCTCTATTACCTTCACAGTAACTTCCAGTTTTTTACATCACAATTTGCTGGTTTTTGTATTAGAGAATTTTATAAAGCGCCATAGAGATGAATTCAAACATCGTTGATTTCATTTTGTGGGATCAGAATTTGCGTCAGGACAAGATTAAACGGAAAAGCACAACCACTCATTTTCCATAAAAATTGTTCTTACAGGTTTTCGCTTTGTGGCTGTCGACATGGAAAAACAATTGGCGAAGTTTTTGTTAGATATTTAGCAAATAGATTTCAATCAAAAAAATTCATCGCATATTTTAGCTATCATAAATCTATCGTCACATGTTTAGAGTATGATACAACTGACGATCGGTCAGAGCTAAGTTTACTAAAGTAATTTATTCACAATTAAAATTGTATATATTGTAAATGTTATTACTTTGTGATTATAAATAAGAAAATAGTTTATACACAATTTTAATTGTACATATTGTAAATGTTATTACTATGTGAATGTAGAATAAAAAAAAATTATGTAACTTAAAAAATAAAAATGTAAAAGTAAAAATTTTTTTACTTAGTGTTTTTTTTTTCTTTATGAATGGGTATTTTAATCAATATACCATTGGAAACCTTTAAATCTTTACATACTGTCCAGCAACATTATTTCTACATTTTGAGCTATGTGAAAATAAAATTTACTTTTCTTCACAGACTTTCCCACATTTTTCTGGGGAATGTGCTTATTTTTTTACCTGCAAGAGAATATAGTCTGCAAAATGATGGCTCATTGGATTTGATGAAGCATTAATGAAGATATGGCGTACCGATAAAGAGAAATAACTAATATATTATATTTCAATAGTTACTCCATTACCTATTGCGTTCTATCTTCCTCCATGCATTGAACTCTGTTATCATGTACTATTCTTCACTCCCTCAAGATTTTCAATGTTCCGGCGACATGAACTTATTCGTAAGCTATTTTAGTTGTTTTTTTCAAGTGAAAACTTTTTCATGCACGTTTCACTTTTTGAGTGGAGTATGAATTAGATTGATCAGACAGATTTTAATGCTCGGGTAAAGTCGGCTATATGTGACTAATAGAAATGTTTTTACATATGGTTTAAAATATCTCAGAAACTAAAAATCGGGTCTGCATACTGTAAGCGAGAAAGTTGTTCAGCATTTCTTCCTCTCTTTAACATGTTATAATTCAAAATTGTATCTTAACGCAACGCCATGTTTGGGAGGCGAAAAAGTAAAAAATAGTGTCGAAAACCAAATGGTAAAGAGTTTTGTGGAAGATACGGATTAAAATATCTCATAAACAAAAATCGGATCTGCAAACTGTGAAATCTACAGCATTTTGTCATCTTTGTAATGAGTTATTATTCAAAATTGTATCTTAACCAATCATCGTATTAGAGTGTAGGAAAATGAAAAAGATAGGGTCCAAAACCAAATGATAACGAGTTTATGCTAATATATAGTACAATTGCTAATATTATTACACCATTGAAATTTTATTCTGTCAATATTATCTATATAAATATAATAAAAATTCTGTCTGTACATTGAATAGAATCAAACCGTTTTATGATATATTTCCGTTTCATACATTGCAGACACCAAATCCACTTTTTTTTTTTTTTTTTATTGATGATATTTACAACTGGATTACAAGTAAAAATACATTCAGTAAATGTGAACAAAGGAATAAAATAGCATGAAATCACATGTTAAGAAACTACCCATTGGTAGCACTCTAAAAATGTATTTACATTTTGAGATCTCGAGGCCATCTTCTTTTCAGACGCCTCTGAGGGTTGTCAGGGATCGAAGAGGAAGCAAGGCTAGAAACGAGAGGGTTTGGATGGTTCTGAAGTTTGTTATGGAAGGATAGGTATCTGTATTGGGCCAGGTCAGAAACATAAGGAACATTAAGGTCGTTATGAATGATTTTGTTTGTGACAAAGTAAGGAGCAGTGAGGATTTTACGAAGGATTTTGGATTGTAAGGATTGGATACGAGAGGAATTCGATGGTTTAGTGGAGCCCCAGAGCTCAACTCCGTAAGTCCAAATAGGTCTTATTATAGTCATGTATATGAGTCTTTTGTAATTGACTGGGAGGTTAGAGCGTTTGCCTAGTAAGTGTTGGAGTAGTCGGAAACGTCGAGCTGTTTCTTGTCGTTTCAGTCTGGTATGAGGATTCCAAGTTAGACGTTTGTCTAAGTGGAGTCCAAGGTATCGAATTTGTTCAACAGGGATAAGTGGGGTATTATTACAGGATACTGTAGGACAAGAGGACATAGGTTTACGACGAAGGGTAAAGGTGATTTGATGGGATTTATTGAAATTTATTTTTATTCTCCAGTTTTGACACTATTCTTCAAGGTTTTTGATGCGTTATTGAAGGGTTTGGGATGCAATTGTTGGTTCGTTATTAACTGAAAGGACACATGTATCATCGGCATACGTGGTATGACTGTGTTAGGATGGTTTGGGATATCAGCTGTATAAACTGTGTAAAAGATAGGACCTAAATCCACTTTTAAAAATTTTTTTGTCCGTCTGAATATTGCCATTATCCAACGAAATTTTGCCAGAGGTAAGCTCGGCAATGGCTAATGGTACACTTTTGAAATTTTGATATTATATTTAGGTTTGCTCAACTTAAAATATAGGCTTTAAATGAAAACAAAATATTTAGGAGAACCAAAGTTCTGAATTCTTGAGTAATTTGTCTGGAGATCCAGGTTAGACAGTTACATACTTCGATTCCCATCCCCACCTCCTCTATCGCGAGCCACATTTAAAAGTTGTACTATTCAACTGATGGAAAAAAATGATCACAACTCAACGGGAAAAATCCGGAATACCGAACATCTGTAACCCGTTGCCGCATTAAACGGGGAAAACATATTCATTATTTAATTTTGTCCGATCTTCCCGTTTATTCAATTCAACTTCCCGAGCCTTACAAATGTTGTTATATACATTTTTAGGATTAACGGATTAGCCGAAAATTCACCCCGCCCGCCACAATATTCAGATCAAGTTCTAATTTTACATGGATGTAGGTGACTCAATGTCCAATGTTATTTTGCGAGCGATAACCTCAGCAGAGTTTAAAGAAGTGGAGAGACTACAACTGTTTTTAATGATTGCAATCGATTCCACAATCTCCTCGCTTCATCATAACTGAAAATTAAACACTTAACTAATTTTAATGGATCGGTGGTGGGTCGGTTTGGTTTTGTGATACCTAAAAAAAAATAGCCGAATAACAAAGGTTTTGTTCTGACTATTGCGAACCCTTGACTTCTATAAGTCCCACCATAAAAAATTTCAAAACAACTCCACTCCTCCCTCCCGACCCAATTTTATGAAATTGAATTTCGACCCTCCCTCACCTCCCCTAATAATACCAAATCCATATCAAAAAAAGATTCTCAAATTTTAACGATACAGTCGTCAACGACGGGCGCATCAGCTAGTTAACAATATATAAAAAATAAGAAGAGAAACAATATAAATGATAATAATATCAGAAATTCTTAGACATGATGGAAAATATATTATAATATAACATTACATAACTTTCCAACTTGAGATTTCCACATAAATATCATACAGTCGTTGGATACAATATAAACTAGTAAATATCACTAATTTAAATAAGTAAATTATAAATCATTATGGACATTTTTAGATTGAATTTGCTTTGATATTTATATTTTACGCAATAGAGCTTTGTTACTAAACGAAATTGAACTAATTAATCCTAACTATAATACACATAGAATACAATTGATCAATAAAGTTAATAAAATAAAAGTGGCACTCCACTTAGTCCTATCATCAGTAATATCAATGGGGAAACTAATAAATTTAGCAAAATATCTCAATTCCACACTCAATATGCTACAATCAGGTAGTAAACATGATGTAAAAAACTCAATAGAGGTAATGCAAATGCTTGAAAGAATAAATAAAATAAACATTAGGAAAATATTTTTTGATCTGTTTTGTTTAGAAAATATATTTATCAATATCAACTTGAAATATGAAATCTCTGAAGCTAAAAATTGGACATGCATACTGTAAGCGAAGGAAACGTTCAGCAGTTGACTCTCTTTCTTATGAGCTTTTATTTATAATTTATAATTCATGTTATTAATCTCGCCTTGTTGCTTTTTCACTTCTATCTTGTGGTCTGAAGAACACACCTTAGGTTTTTGTCTTATATAACCTCCATTTGCCTTATATAACCTCGTTGTTTTGAAAATTTGGGCGTTTAGGTCACGTGAAACGACTCAATATTTTTTAAGGCCACCTTTTTTCTCGACTTTGGGATCAAATTATCTACGATACAAGTAGAAATCAAATGTGTATTTACGAGTTTTTTGTATTTAATTAAATAGACAAAGTTTACTCCCTCCGGATTGAAAACGCTCCAATTCCAAGAGCTTTCATAAATAAAATAATTGTAGGTTCCGATGAGATGAAACTATTTACGAAGTTTCAGGCGGATGTTAATAATTAGATAAAAAGAGGTCTGTATCATGGACTATAACTAATGTTCATTTAACTTTGAGAATATTAGAATTCCCACACAATTTTAGTTCATAAAAAAAATAATTGGATGTGTTTTCATATTATTCGCAGTTGTGAACTTTTGGCTAATTTCTTAGCCTTGTTTTTACTTCTTCCGCTTTGATAACATCTTCCTATCTAATTTGATAATTACATAATTAAATTAATGATAATTACCTAAAAATACTATAATTAGATTTTGTGTTTTTATGTTTCCTTGGTCAATGTTCCAAATCGATGATTTAGTTTAAATAATATCTTCCAGTCCTTTTGAAAAGTGATTCAAACTGCAAATAAATTCCAGATGATAATTTATATACCCGTGCTGTCTTCTACTCCCGAACGAAACTCAAGACTCCTTCGGATGTTCAAATACACAAGAATATCCGAAATATACCTGCTAGGATCCGTAGTGTATAGTAAAAGCCTCCTTACTACGCCGGTTTCAAATATTTGTTTTCAAATAGCAACGATTTCGCTGACAATATACCAATGTGTTTAACTAAATATGTAAATACATTTCTTTAGGAAGGTTTGTTATTCCAGATTTCTGTATTTGGTTGTTTTGTTTTTTAATTAAAATATTCTTTTAATTTAAACTTTTTAGTTTTTTTATTATTGGCAATTTAAATTCAACACATAATATTATGATCAAAATCGTATACAACACATTTGTATGATATGAAATGAACAAAAATTTGAGAATATTTGCAATAAAATATTTATTACAATATTTCGAGATCTATTTTTACTTTCACTTACCTACAACATGAAGGTCCATTATTGCGATCGTAAAAAATTTCGAATCTGAGTTTTCAACGGAAATAAATGTTTTAAGGTCTCCTGAGTCCCGCAAATGTGTGTGTCTAGCTATAAAACGAAAAGTAGTATGAAATGAAAATTGCATATTTAAGGTTTGCATATAACTGAGATATTACAGCAAATTTTTCGTCAAAATCAGCTCACAGGAAGTCGCACTTATTATCGATGAAACACATATTTACTGTTTTCTCGAAAACAGCTCCAACGATTTTGATTAAATTCATTAGATTAGTGTAAAATTAAGAAGTTTTTAATATTCTCATTAATTTTCTCTAACATGGCTTAAATGGCTAATTTTAAATATTAGCTTCTTCTAAAGTAACTTTATTTATTTTTTATTTTTTGAAATAATTAATCATTTCACATTGATTTCTAATACAAAAAATAGTTAAATATAAAATATTAAAGAATTTGATAACTAACTAAAGCATTAGAGATGGTAACAGAAAATAGTTGTAATGAAGTAACCAAAGAGATACGAGTTAGCCCGAAGATTAGAACAGGCTTCCAAAGTAACATGAGCTTAATATAATGCGGACTCCAACAATATTATGTACATATACATATGCAGTTTTCCTAAATGTTTTCGTTGGTATTATTTAAGATTTAATTGTATAGATTACAGCGATATAAATATTAAAATTTGTATATAGGACTGCACTTATACAAATAAAAATATCCACAATGAAATATAAATCAATATAGCGTTTACATTTTTTACTTTCACTTCCTCGTCTGAATATACTTACTTATGATAAGAAGAGAGTGGTAAGTGAAAGTTGAGTGATGCGCCCACCGCAACAGATTTTTTAAAACATTCAAGATAGCTCACTGAGTAATTTGAAGCATCTGACTTCGTTAGTCAAATAAATAACTATAATCAAACGGATATTCTTATCCTTTCCTTCGATCTAAACTAATTTAGATAAAATACGCGTGTAGTTTTTTTTAATTAGTATTTCTTTCTTTTTTTTTGTATTCATGTAATTACATTGTAGTATTACATGTAATTATATTGTTTTTTTCTCTCAATAATCTAATGTTAATTATGGGATGATTCCCCACTCCATCATTCATATATTTTTTTTTTCTTTTCTGCAACAACCTGAAGAACAACTGCAAGAACCTGGGATCAGTAGTAACATTGTTTAACTTTGTAAGCATACGTTCACATTTCTTGTATATTTAGAATGTTTTTAAGTGTTTACACTTTTTCTAAACTCATATACCAACATAATTAGTTTCGAAATATTAGTAAATTATAATTCGAGAAGAATATATGTTGTTAATGGATGACATTGATCTTGGTTTTAGGAAGATGGAGATGTTTGCAACTTCAGCTCTTATAATTGTGGTGGCTCACCTGGTCTTGGGCCTGCTACTATGGTTTCGGGTCCGCAAGCTATATTCTTATCCTGGTCTTCTGGGTTTCCCTGTTTTCGGAAACCTCTACTACTTCTACAAAACAATGCTCATAGCCTCATTCGAAAGTAAATATTTTTTTTTATTATTAATACATACACATAAAATTGGACATAAAAAATTAAATTTGCGATCTGCAAATTTCTTTGCGATGAGCAAAGATTTGGCAGCTTCACAGCGTCCAATCACAATCCAGGAAATAATTCAGTTCAACAGGTCTCTTGGCCACCGCCTATGTAATCGTCGAGGTGGGCTTTATAGGGGTTTTCTGTCAGTGGATTTGTGTTGTAAGTTAGTCTTTAATGAGAGTTATTATAGTTTTCTTTTGCAGTGCCTAAAATTGTTGGGATGTTTAAGTCTTTATGTAATCTATCGTTTGAGAAATAAAATGGTGCGTCAGCTATCCTTCGTAAAGTTTTGGATTGGAAAAAGTGGATTTTTTTTAATATTGGAAGTTTTAGCAGAACTCCATAGTTCAATAAGTCCAAATTAGTTTAAGTAAAACTTTATAGAGAGTTACTTTGTTAGTCAAAGATAATTTTGAACGTCTGTCAAGTAACCTAGATAAAAGACCGTACGTTTAATTCTATACGTTTTTGTCTAATGCGTGTTCTCCAAGTTAGTCTTTTGTCCAGATAAAAACCCAAATATTGAATTACATTGGATGCAGAAATTTCAATGTTATTAAAATATATTCCGGGGGAAGAAGTATGATTAAGACGTACAAACTTTTTGTATCATTCATTTTAATTTTCCATCTTGTGGCCCAATCAGCAATATCGTTCAAGTAGTTTTGAAGAGTTGTGGATTCTCGAACAGGATTTTTATTTGAGCTGAGGATTGCGATATCGTCTGCAAAAGTATCCAGTAGGATGTCATTGTGATGCGGTAGGTCAGACATATATATATATATATATATATATATATATATATATATATATATGTTAAACAATATTTGTCCAAGGACACTACCCTGAGGTACTCCGGCTTTAATAGATTTAATGTCTGAATGTTCTGTCCCTACTTTTACTACAAAATGTCTGTCTGTTAAATATAAGTGTAGTATTAAATAATAGGTGGAGGAAGTAAAATTTTAAGTTTGGAAAGCAATCCTTCATGCCAAACTTTATCGAAAGCTTGACTAATGTCAAGAAAAACTCCAGGACAATAATTTTTAAGTAAATATAACTCATTTTTTGATAACGTAAAAATTTTGATAGCGTTCTAGCAATATAGTGTTTTATGTTGGCCAAATGACCAAAATGAATATTTTCATAGCTGTTAATTTTTTTAGTTATGTTACAAACATAACAAAGCTTTTCTATTTTATGCGTAACCTTTTCCAAAAAAACAAAAAAACTTAAAAAAAAAATTATACATTTTAATAAATTTAATTAATATTAAGAGTTTAGTTTAGTTAATAGTTCTTTTTTTTTTCGGCCACTTAGCACCACGCGAATATCATTGGTTAGGATTCTTTGGGAGTCTTGATTTTCTTTCTTCCCATTGCAGCTTCATGATTTTCGACTGGATTTCTTTTCTTTCTTCGGACAACTTTGTACTCCTTCTTTTTGATTTCACTTACGTATATATGTAATATATACGTAAGTGTAAGTATTGCGATCGTGAAAATTTTTGAGTCTGAGTTTTCAACGGAAATGCACGTTGTGAGGTCCCCTGAGTCCAAATAACCAAGTCCCGAAAAATGGTCTGTGTGTATGTGAACATTGTAGCTCGAAACCGAAAAGTCGTACGAAACTGATATTACATATTTAAGATAGGTATACGCCTTAGACGTGACAGCAACTTTTTCCTTAAAATTGGCTAACCGGAAGTGCCACTTTATATCGACGCTGAAACACATTTTTACAATTTACTCAAAAACGGCTCTAACTATTTTGATTAAACTCGATATATCATTGTCTAATTAAGTAGTCTTTAATATCATTAGTGAATAATTTGACGAATCTCCCCTTTGTGATATTTCAACAGTATCCACTACTGTACTTGTGTGAAAGAAGAAGTGAAATATACAAATATTTCATAGATACGTTTATAACCTTAATTTACTTAATAACTCTAGATCTTATATTATATTTAAATATTTAGGCATCTATCGTCCGTTTATTCCGAAAAATCAATATGTACCCTTATAGAAATTTCCTTTTGTGATATTCCAACAATATCCACTTACAATTAGTGTGACAACTTTTGATCTTCAATTCAACAGACAATGCAAATCTCTAAATTCCGTTTTAGTAAACTTTGAAATGGAAAATAACAGTTTAATAACCAATAGTCTTACAATCAAAGGATCGTACAATACATCATCAACCGGTGATATAATAATTTTTGTTATTTACTTTTGTTATTTTATTGGTATTTATGATTTGTTATCTGTAATATTTTAGCTTTAGCTCAGTTAAAAATGCAATTCAAAAATTTTATAAAAGCCCAACATGGCCGGAACTATATCGAAACTATAAAACTATAACTTACATTAAAAAGTTGAGTGGTAAGTCAAAGTTGTGTGTTGCGCGCTCCAGATTTTTCCTATTCCACTATTGGTGAGATTTTTCAGTGTTTTCCTGTATTTGTGATTATTTAGAAAGTTGGCGACTGAAATTTTAAGATTTTTCATTCTTCTTTTATTTTCTTCGTGTATCCTGCCATGCTTTATAGCTAAAACTTTTGTTAAAGATCTTTTTATTCAATCTCCTTCATCCTTTTCATATTCACATTGAGCATTGGACTTGTAATTCTTATCTCGGTTTCCTTTCATTTTCCTGTTGATATTTAGATCATCATCTGTAACATTTTGGGCCTTCCTGAGCCCATAGATATTTCTTAACATCTTCCTTTCTTTTCTTAGCAGCTTTTCCAAGTTGGACAGACATGAGGTCTCCATCTTGTATAAAATCACAGGCTTTATCACAACGTTGTAATTCCTTCACTTTGCATTGGAGGAGAGGTTATTTTTATTGTAAATTTTGCCTGTTTGAAAACTTCCTCAGAACCGTTGTCACATATCATTTCCCCCAAATACTTAAATTTTCCGTATTATGTAATATTTCTTAATTATGTAGAGAATTAAATTATACTTAAAGGAACATCTATATTTCTTAGAATAATATACGGAGTAATAATGATTTTAGTAAATTCTTGATTATATTTTTTCACAGATATGAGAATCCATTTGGTTCAAGTTGCTGAGCAATACGGAAAAAACGGTATATGCTTCTGTATTTTATTTTGCTTCAGGAAAGTGGTTATAATTTCAAGTCCTCAAGTTATGAAGGTATAATAATTTTGATCATTTATACCATAAAACTTTTATATTATAGTTATTTAGCATTACAGTAAATAAATACTACAGATCGTAAACTGGATCGGCAAATATATAACATCGGCTACTGCTTCTAGTTTGGAGGAGAGATTAATTTCAGTGTAACTGAAACCTTTTTCAAGGGCAAGAGTCGCTCCCCAGCTTGCCTCAGTGGAATGAGAAACTGTTTTATTAATACAATTTTATGTTGAATTTAAGATTGTCTGGTTCAATTTTAAGTGGATTTCTTGAAGAGAAATTAGTGTGGGATTATAAATAGAAATTAAAAATTGCAAATCATTATATTGACAATAATACCGTCACAATTCCAATTTATAATCAACATATGTTTTATCTGATAAGAAAGTATAACCTAAACTTTGAACGAGTGCGTGGGGTTAGTTCTGTCTGTAATCAGTGTTACCTATCAGAGATATATTTCTGATATGATTTTGTAACCATTATATTACTTGAGTGAATCTACTTTTTTAGATTTTTTTTTTTTTTTTTGGATAGAGAAGGGTAGAGTTCTGCAAGCATATTTATATTAGACTCAAGGCCGTTTGTTATTTCAAACGTTACTGAAACTGGGTCTTTAGTGATAATAACTGATTCTAGAAGAGTTAATAATTTGATAAAAGAAAGAGGATAGTTTTTTCATGGTTACATATGATTATCAATCTTTCAACAATATTTATTCTATTCAGTTGTTCCAGTTCATAATCTGTTACATGCTAGAAATATAAATATAAAAAACAAATTAAATAAAGTATAAAACCTTGTAATGGTAAAGAGATAGTTGACTGTACATAATATTCATTATTTATTATTATTATTGCTTTTTTTTTTTTAATTCATATATTAATTCGCAATGAAAATATTAAAATTAAAATTAATTAAAATAAGCTTCTTTCCATAGTGAATAAGGAATTTTATACCTGAAGATAGATCTAATTTACACACACACACACACACACATATATATATATATATATATATATATATATATATATATATATATATATATATATATATATATATATATATATATATATATAATATATATATATATATATATAAGTAAACTACTATTAATGATAATAATATTATTATAAAATATCTCTCATTATTTAGCAAATAGGATTCCATCCAAATCTCAAGGATAAACCTCCTTATGTGTTTGAATCATTTCTAAAGTACACCGATGGACCATTTACCACACCTAGTGAGTAATTTTACTATTATTATATACCTATATATATATATATATATATATATATATATATATATTATATTACAATATAAGTATTATTAAGTAATATTATGTCCTAAGAGGTTGATGGCAAAAACCTATATCTGAATTGCTAGACCCAGCAGCTAAGGTCAGCTACCAACACTTATTTAAATTTCAAATATTTAAATTTTTTTGCACAGGACTGACTCTAATTAATTTTATTAATCGAAATATATTTCAATTCACACATCAGCTTCCTGTATACATTACAATATTTTAAAAAACAACTGCGGTGTATGTTTTAGACAGAAATGAAAATATCAACAAGGAGAGAAATTAATAATATGAATTATAAATTTGTTTTTGTTCTATATTCATAAAGTAATAACATTAATAATGCATACAATTATAGTTTTGTATAATCATACCAGACTGATATGACAAGAAACGGCTCGACGTTTTCGGTTACTCCAGTACTTACTATACAAACGCTCTAAACTTCAAACTAAATACTCATATACATTACTATACTAAAGGCCTATTTGGACTTATCGAGTTGAGCTATGGGGCTCCACTAAACCATGATATTCCTCTCGTATTCAATGCTTACAATCCAAAATCGGACTAAGGAGACCTCGAAACATGTATTTCCATTGACAAGTCTGTTTCTAAAATTTCACGATCGCAATACTTACCCTTACTATATATTTCATATACAGGTAAGTTAAAGTAAGAATCTATTTTAACTTTTGCAAATTGGTTCCTGAATTCTCCATTGTATTTAAATTTTAAGATATTTTAGTCCAAATGTTCAAAACACTTTCAATGTTCTTTTTCCCTTTCCGATTCTCTAACTCAGCATCACGTCAAAATACATTTTTAATTTGTAGCTCATTACAAACAGGATGAAATGCTGCATAAAATGGTTCGATTTTTAGTTTATGATATATTTTAATCTATATGCAAAAACACTTCGAGTCGACTATACACGATTGAGCGTTACACATCCGATCCTGACGACTTAATCTGACTACTGTTTCAGGTTCTGATGATGTGTGGAAGATGAAAAGGAAAGAATACAACAACTTATTGAAGAAATCCAGTGTAGAAAATAACTTTTATAATATTTTCTTGAAATCTGCTGATAAATTGGTCGAGTTGATGCTGGCCACTCCATCTACGTTGGATATCGAGAAGGCAGTCTTAGGTGTCACACAAAGTGTTACCATGGGTATGTTTCTTTGTTTGACGATGTTTTATATTTAAAATTATAGATAGGTCTAAAGCTTCTAATTATCGAAGAGAGGATCGTGTTTGTTTCTTTTAAATGTTCGTCTAAACTAATTATAAAAAAATTGATGAGGCGTGCTATCATACAACATTTACTTACCACCCTACTTAAATAATTAATTTTCTGCTCAAAAAGAACAATAAAAACCAATAGTCGCTCCGTTTTTATTCATCATAAACACAAAATGATATTCCTAAATGTAACGGCGACTTACGCAGACGAAACTACAATTGTAACATGACATAAAAATATAAATATAGTTTTCACCATAAGTGTGTCCATAAATCAAATTAAATATTTATAAAAGTAAAAATATAGGTAATAAAGAGAAATAAAAAATATATACATAAATAAATTTGTGGTGTATGGCGAACTAAAAATAAACACCCTATAGCAAGTCTGGTGGGCTCCTGCCACCAGCAAATCTGGAGGGGCCCTCTCATTGTTGGTCCGCGAGTCCATCGGAATAGCCGGGAGGAACTTCCAAGGAATTTCCATTGACCATCCCCACATGTGCCACCCGTGGAACGCTAAGCCTTTTATTATTATTATTACATAAATAAATATAAAATAAAGAGATTTATATTGTATTTTTTTCTCTCTCTCTTTCGCGCTTCTACTCTCAAGGGTAGCGTTTTACTACGATTTATGTTCATTTATAATACTCCATTAATTTTAAAAATTCATTAGACGATTCTATTTATTTTTAAATAAAGTTATCTTTCTAATAATGTTTATTTTTTCCGTGTAACATATGCTGGTACTGGGTGTGGGGAACTTAGCCTGGCAAGTGGGCCTGGGAATGTCACGATCCATTTCCCGGGGCCGCGAGAAATGAAAAGGAAACGACCCAGGCGGGAATCGAACCCACAACGTTCAGAACCGGGTACTCTGGGACCCACGCCCCATCGTGCTCGGCTATCCCGTCCTCCATGTAACATATAACTAAATAAAAATAGTAAGAAAGCTACTATGATTTTTTTTTTTTTTTTTTAGAAGCCCTATTTGGTGTTGATGGCAGGCCAGCATTCGATCCTGAGATCATTGATCATATGTATACGTAAGTTATTAAATCCTAAGTTATTATTTTTAGAATTCAGATTCCTCAATCTGCTAGTTTTAATGGATTGAGATCGGCTATGTCTAAAAAGGAGATTTTATTTGGTTCAGGAGACCTGGTGTAAAAATTTTACTTTGAATAGACATAATGGAAGTGCAAAAAAGAAATATTAACAATCATAAAAAAATATGAAAAATGTGAACAAACTTTCTTATTGAAAATAAAATACTTATCTACAAGACAAAACTGAAACTTACTTTGACTTACGGACTTGAACTGTGGGGAACAGCATAATTTTCTAGCATGAAATGCATCCAATCCTTCCAGTCCAAAGTCCTTCGAACTATAGTCGATGCTCCTTTCAATGTAACAAACAAAACCTTACACCGTGACCTTAATATCCCGTTTGTCCCAGACCTTATCCCAGCAAAATTCTCCAAATTTCACCAGAACCTTACCTATCATCCGAATCCCTTTGCAAAATCCCTATCTAGTACCAACCATCTTTATAATCCTCCAAGAAGGTTAAAACGGCAGTGGCCCCGCGACTTTTATAGTTTGTGGGCAAATTCTCCACTCACGACATGATTGTATGTGGCTGAAACACTCTCGCTCAATCTCCACTGGGTTTAGCCCCAGTGACGCGGTGGAGAGAGAAGTGCAGGGATCTCTTGGAGTCATGCTTTACCCTCCACAGTTTGAGGGACGAATCTGGCTCGGAGTTCTCTAGCCTGTTTGTAAATAGTGTATATAGGTATGTATGTGTTTTTTTTTATTTATTTATTTTTAGGTTATTTTATACTTATTTATTCTCTCTCTCTCTCTCTCTCTCTCTATATATATATATATATATATATATATATATATATATATATATATATATATATATATATATATATATATATATACTATTATTGTACATAGAGTGTGAATGTGATCTCTGAAAACTATTATAAATGTCCTTTGAGGCGGATTGTAATATTTTCCAAAAAAAATATTGAAATAAGGATGAATCCACAATCCATTGCTCCTAAGAACGGAAAAAAGAATTCTAAAATAACATATCATATTCGAGGTGTGATTTACAATTAGCTAACTTTCCAACTTATTATTTCAATAGAAAATTCATATACAGACCTTTAATTAATATATAGATATATGTGAATGTGATATACATACATATCTATACATATATATATATATATATATATATATATATATATATATATATATATATATATATATATATATATATATATATAATATGACATTTTTTGTAGGTTAAAGAACATAATAACATTAATTATAGGAAACCCAGGAATAGCAAAGACAATATTAAACGGTCTTGGACCATTTGATGGGTTGTTAATTAGACAAGCAGGAGCATTAAAGAAATTGGTAACATATTTTTTAAAAAAATTAAAATCAAACTTCATAGAATAGAAACATTTTAAATGAACTATTTATTTTAATTCTTTTGTAGTCGTCCCAGATTATGAAACAGGTACATGTAAAGCTGAAAAGTAGCCAGCATTTTCCTTCAGGTATGGATAGCCGTTTTATTTAATTTTTGGTTTATTATTATCAAGAATCGACCTTTTTTAAAAAAAGTTAACCCTCCATCGAAATTTGACTTTTTGTATTTTAAGATGCCGATGACACGTGTACCCTATCAGTTAATAACGATCCATCCACTGCATCCGAAAGTCTTCAATCACACAACACAAGTCTTGAAAAATGGTGTCAAAACTGGAGAATTAAAATAAATTCCAATAAATCCCATCAAATTACCTTTATTCTTCGTCGTAAACCTATGACTTTCTGTCCTACAGTATCCTTCAACAATAGTTATCCCTGTTATCCCCCAGTTATCCCTGTTGAACAAATCCGATACCTAGGACTCCACCTGGACAAACGACTCACTTTTAACAGCCATACCAGACTGAAACCACTCGAAACCGCCCGACGTTTTCGACTACAGCAGCATTTACTAGACAAACGCTCTAAACTTTCAACAATTTACACTAAACTCATAAATATTACTATAATAACGCCTATTTTTACTTACGGGATCGAGCTTTGGGCTTCTACTAAACCATCAAATTCCTCTCGTATCCAATCCTTACAATCCAAAATCCTTCATAAAATCCTCAATGCTCTCTACTTTGTCACAAATAAAATCATCCTTAACGACCTTAATATACCATATCTTTCCGATTTAGCTCAATCCAGATACCTATCCTTCCATAATAAACTTCTGAACCATCCGAACCCTCTTGTTTCCAACCTTGCTTCCTCTTCTATTCCTGAAAACCCTCGGTACCTTCTAATATAGAAATATAATGCTATCATTGGGTAGTTTTTCTCCATGTTGTACATGTTATGTTACTTGTTTCATGTTTACTTGTTGTATTTATCATTTAATACAGTTGTAAATTTCAATAATAATAACAAAAGTACAGCCAGAATCCAAAAATAAAATAATCCGTCCGTCGTCTGCCGTACATTACTACTTGACCGATTGTTTTGAAATTCGGTATCACTGTCAAACAGGACCCGATGATGATTCTCGGAAGCATTTCTACCCTCCGCTTTCTTTCAAGATGGCTGTCGATAAACCTCTGTTGCTATGGACTATAACACCTAAGGGACCAGCTGGCTGAGCGGGCTAATATGTTTGAACAGAACCGCGCTTTGCCTGGCAACCTGATAATCGAAGTTACGATTGATACAATTGTCACGAGTTCACGTCTCGGTGTCGAGAGGGGCTTTTAACTCTGGCATTAATCCCCCGCCTAACCTTCTGGTGGCCCGGAAAAACCTCGTATTGCATAAAAGGCGAAGAAGGGAAAAAAAAAGAGTGCAGCGCCTAAACTGATATACCGATTTTAATGAATCATGATCCAAAGTCTTCTCCTTGAAGTTCTTTAAAATTATTAATTAACATACTTCACCGAAAAGTACATTCTTATCAAGATGGCGGTCGAAAAACCTCTGAATCGTATAAAAAGTAGCTCATAAACGAATGTACCCATTTCGATGAAACTTAAAAGGTTCCAACTTCTAAGGTCATTAAATTTATATTTATAACATGCTTCACAGAAATAAGTTAGAAATAGTTACGAGGGGTGGTTAAATTAGACTTTGGAATAACTCAAAAAGTATAAACTTTTATTTTTGTTTTTTTTATAATTATTTAAAAGTTTCATAATTTCTAAAAGAAAATCTTTTAAATCTAACTATTTGTTGCAAAAATATGTTGCTCGAAATACTTAACACATATTCTGCTGCAAAACTTCGTTTTTATTTTCAGAAATTATTATTACATGAAACAAAAGAGATTGGTAAAAAGAAGGGTTATTCTAACAAATGTCGTAGTCATTGGGCTGTGGTAATAATTGCGCAATTAGTATTAATTGGTTCCATGACCATTCAGAACCAACTGACCTTCCGTCTAATTATAACTTCAATTTTGTCCAAGCAAATGCGAAGAGCCTCAAGCGTTCTATTAGTTTGATATTAATTCTTTTCACGTGCACCATTTTGCTCCAGTAAAATTTTTACGACAGTAGTTTTTGTTTCGGTGGGGTGGTAATGTTATTGTGATTTTACTGATAAATGTTAATAAGCCATCTACAATTTTTAATTGATTACTATAATTTTATTTTTTGTTTAACAGAAAATACAAAATCAAACTATTCATTATCAATGTACATAGCGTCAAGAACTGAAAAAAGTAAAAAATTTGATCAGAATGTGTTAACTGAATTACAAGAATTATTCATCACAGTAAGTATCAGTACTTTTCATATTATTTTATATATCTACTAATTCCTATGTTAACGTAATATACAAACTTCAGAAATGGTCTGTTTTCGAGACAGAAAATACAAAATGATGTACTAAAAATTATTACAACTTCTTTGGCTTTCACTTGAATTAAAAGATAACTAGTAGGCCCTTGCGAAAAATTCGCACAGAATATTGTTATCAGATGCAAAATTAATAAGAAAATAAAATAATGCAACGTATCAAAAGATAAAATAATCAATTGTTACTTTATAGATAAATATATAATTAATAAATATATTAAATTAATGTATGGAAACAGTATATAGTTTTTTTAGCCAGCTCTTCAATGGATTTTCCTTACTCATATTTGATCTGTTATTTATTAATTGTGGATTGATGGTTACTGTAGCGGATAATTTATGAGAAGAATGGTTAGGGTGATAAGTTAAAAAAAAAAAATAGCAAGAATAAATAATTACTAGTAGGCCCGTGCGAAAAATTCGTACAGCATATTGTTTTCAAATGCCAAATTAATAAGAAAAGAAAATAATGCAACGTATCAAAAGATGAAGTAATCAATTGTTACTTCAATCAATTGTTACTTCAAGAAATATAATCGACAAAGGAAACAAAATTAATTTAAATCTACATTTTTGTTTGGAACCAACATATTTACAAATTTCAATAATCTGTACCTTTGCGAAAAGTTGACCGATTTCAATGATTTTTTTTTTCCCTTTTATAGACAATTTAGTAATGTTTTATATAATCATGGGCATAACTAAGGGAAAAGTGTGTAATTTTTTTAGTTATTCGCAAATAAAGTTTCATTTCTTTCACAACTTGTTTGCCTGAATTTTCGAGGTGATAGGACTATTTTTCCACCTGAAGGAGAAGGAAGCCTTCGAAATTGGTGGCTCAATCTTGAGATTTGGTGAAGAATTGACGATGATATGGCTTGCCGATCAAAAACACCATCGATAAATAATATAAACTCCTCCTCTCTCGATCATAGAGACCTCAAGTCGACGAAATTAGACATGTATCCAATGACAGTACTACAATTAACGTCAGGTTGTGTATATGCGAACCCCATGCCTTGCGTTATCTCGAAAAAATCCAGGTCTTGCTGTACGCATCAAATTCTTCAAGGTCCAATTTGTCCCGCATCGATCAACAGACCTACCACCGTTCCAGTATTAAAGCCTAGCAAAATTTTTGTATCGACTTTATTTATTTTAGAAAGAAAAACAAAAGTGGGGAATACGATTCGCTAACCCCCGGTGAAATTCTGTATCCATTGGTACCCCATTCATGGTATTTGAGCACAACAGGAGCTTATATTTGGTACAAAACCGATTCCGAGCCTTACTATTATAATACATGTGGGGATTTGTTCCAAAATTGTGCTTAGATTATCGATAATTTTCTATTTTTCTAGAAGTATTATTATTTCTGCTTATTATGTTGCTACGTAATAAGCGTAAAACTGTTTTTTCTACAGTCAAAACTATTTTGATAAAAATTACATAAAGTCTTGTAGGTAGGTTACGAGTTTTCCTAGCCGATCAACAACTTCCTTATTACGCCCTTGAGCTATGGTGTTATTATTTGTAACTTATTTTTCTAAAGAGAAAAAAAAATCTTTTTATGTATTTCATTAATTATTATATTCTATGGTACAATTATGTTTGTTTTAAAAGTTTTATAACATTCTCTATTGAATTTACTCAGCTCTTTAACGCTAGTTCTCTACAACGTCGCAGACTGTTAAATGTTTAAATGTATTGATTTTTATACGCTGGTTTCAATAATGATTAACGTGCCCGTTGCATTAGTTCATCAAATTCCATTTTTATTGCTTTAGTTCCGCAAAGAAAGCAATTAGCTGATAGGTTTTTAGGAAAATATCTCCAATTCAATTGATTTTTTTTTTTTTTTTTTATGGAAGTATATATTGTGTAAATAGTACAAACCGTTAGCTTTAGATCAGTCAGGCATGTGTTCATATGTTCGGGGGCGTACGTGTATTTATTCACAATTTGGGTGTCTTTTAAATATCCGTACATATATTATTACAGTAAGGTTCGAAATCGGTTTTGTACCAAATATAAGCTCCTGTCATGCTCAAATACCAAAAATGGGGTACCGTTGGTTTCAGAATTTCACGGGGGGTTAGCGAATCGTATTCTCCACTTTTGATTTTCTTTCTAAAATAAATAAAGTCGATACAAACATTTTGCTAGGCTTCAATACTGGAACGGTGGTAGGTCTGTAGATCGATACGGGACAAATTGGATCTTAAAGATTTTGATGCGTACAGCAAGACCCGGATAGTTCCCTCGGAACTATCGGATCCTGCGTTTTAAAGCCGAAAAACGTACTATTTTCGAGATAACGCAAGGCATAGGGTTCGCATCCACACAACCTTACATTAATTGTAGTACTGTCATTGAATACATGTCTCATTTCGTCGACTTGAGGTCTCTATGATCGAGAGAGGGGGAGTTTATATTATTCATCGATGGTGTTTTTGATCAGTAAGCCATATCATCGTTAATTTTTCACCAAATCTCAAGATTTAGCCACCAATTTCGAAGGCTTCCTTCTCCTTCAGGCTGGCAAAATAGTCCAATTACCCAGAAAATTCAGGCAAACAATTTATGAAAGAAAATAAACTTTATTTGCGAATAACTGAAAAATTACACACTTTTCCCTGGGTTATTCCTATGATTACTAAATTCCCTACAAAAGGAAAAAAAAATCATCGCAATCGGACAATTTTTAGCAAATATACAGCTTACTGAAATTTGTATACATGTTGGTTCCAAACAAAAATGAAGATTTTAATTAATTTTTTATTGCTTTGTGGATTATATTTATCGATAAAGTAACATTTGATGTCTTAATCTTTTGATAAGTTGCATTTTCTTATGAATTTGGCATTTGATAATAATATGCTGTGCGAATTTTTCGCACGGGCCTACTAGTTATTATTATTAATTGTACGATTCTACATGTGTGTTGTAATCCTAAAATCTCTACTAATTGTTTCGCTTTGTAGAATTCAGCATAGAAAATTTTCTTTAGTATATATGTATTTTTATTCATTTATGGTATTTATTATATAAATATATTTATATATAAATAGTAAAAATATTTGGAGTATAAAAATATTTGTGATGTTTGTTATATAAAAATATTTTTGTTTTTTTCTTCTTGTACTGTACTTATTTACTTGTTTTCTTCTACTTATAAAACTAATCCCTACTAACACTAAATGAGCCAGACTCCATGGCTACGATGTATATTAGGCTAATAAAATGTTTCTATTTTATTCTATACTGTATAATATTAAGGACGCAGTCATTATATTTTTTTTTTATTTGTGCCAACGTTTCAACCCAAACATGTGGGAGCGTGGTTCGAGCTTTCAAGTACTGACAAGGTTTAGGTTGTTCGGGTTGAAACGTAGGCACAAATAAAAAAAATTTATAATGACTGCGTCCTGAATATTTATCACCCATGATACGTAGATCAGTTTATTAGCTTCCTTCTTTAAATTGTATAAATTTGTCAAGTATCACTAGAAAACTCATGTAAGTGGACAATCCGGATATATTTTTCTCCATAGCCAAGACATTATTTTCGTTCTTTCAGTTTATATTTTTCAAATGTACTTTATAATTAGTTCTTTTAGTCTTCCAGTACTGTTTCTTCTACGATGTCATGCACAATCATCTGCTTAGCTGTGCTTCCTGAAATGCAAGAAAAAGCTTGGAAGGAACAAAATGAAATTTTCGGCGACGATACCAGAGAACCATCTCTTGAAGACCTCGAAAGAATGATATTCCTTGAAAGGTATAAGATTCTTCAAATACAGTGACAAAAGAACATGCAGTGAAAAATCTTATTAAATGTTATAACACATTATATTTATGGGCTTTTGAATTTCATGAGTTTTATCACAATTAAAGGTTAATACAATAAAATTGAATTTACAAGTCATACAAATATCGATACTCATACATAGAAAATCTTTTTCAAGTTACCCCAATAAAAATGTAATCTAATAAGTTTGTTTTTCAAATTATTCATTCCAAAAATATCTATCCGTTAAAATATATATTAAAATTAATATTTTTAAATAAAAATTCCAACTAAATTTATAAGCCATGAGAAAATTCAATATTTTTAAAAATATTAATATTTTTAAATTATTTAAAACGCACAATGACACAAAAATAAATAATAAGATTACAAGTTATTGGAGTAATATATTTAGGCAGTGGCTAAGAGGTGACCATCTTCCCCTAAGGAGTTCGGCGTCCTCACTTTCAAGAAATTTTATTACTCACATCTTCTGTAAAACGATGGAAGTGAAATTAAATTATATTTATTTATCTATTCTAAAATTTTATTTTAAATGAAATAACACTTACTACGGTCTGTTCTAAATCTTATTCTTTGGTTTGAAATTATCTCCAAATTTAACCCTAACAGAAATATGATTTTCCTCGAAAATTCACAGTCCAATAAAAATGTGGCGTCTCAAAACTTTAGATGGTGCAACATGTGCAATTCCACTCCCTTCTGGGTAAATCTCCTAATACAATAATGTATCAAGTTATACATTATACATATAAATTCAGATAAATACAGAAAAATAGTATTCTAATGGATTGGAAGAATAAATTTGTGATAGTTACATATTTTTTTTAAGGTTTATCAAAGAATCCCTGAGATTCTGTGGTCCTCCGTTAATCGCAAAGCATGCTGCTGAAGATATTAAAGTGGGTGAGTAGAATTTTGATTTTTATATTATTGTATAATATTAGTCTGTTCTAACTGCCAAACTTCCAAAATGATGGCAGAACTCTAGATCATTAGGATGTTGGCCCTAATATTAACTATATACTATTCCTTTTCTTTTTCAGATGGAGTGATTATACCTAAAGGCGCCATCGTAGTTTATATGTTGGATTTCATGAGAAAGGATCCAAAATATTGGAAAGATCCAAAACTATTTGACCCAGACCGTTTTCTTGAGGAGAACGAATGTTTAAATTACACTTATGCACCATTCGGAATAGGTGTTCGAACTTGTCCCGGTAAATGTTTTAAATCCAAAAGTATTATATTTTAAATACATTAATAACTGAGTAATTTAAATAAATATTTGACCCGTGTGAGTAATTCGCAAGGAATATTGGTCACAAGTAGTGTTGCCCAAAATCGGTCTTGGTCTTGCACTTTGCAAGACCAAGACCAAGGCCGCCTAACTGTTGCAAGACCAAGACCGGTGACTGGTAAACAAAATTGATGTTTTTAATAAAAAATTAAGGTAAAATAGTTACTAATACTCGATAATCTTAGTTACTATATGTAAATAATTGGTATAACTAATATAGTTTTGCATTTAATTTCTCTAATTTTTCATTCAGGCTTAGTTAGGTTTCTCCTATCTACAAAATACAGTACTGTAAGACTGTTGCGAGACTCTTGTGCAAGACCAAGACCATGACGAAACTGAGTTTGCAATACCAAGACTCGTCTGGGTCTCGCATTTGGGCAACACTAGTCACAAGCGAAATATCGTGATTATTGGTAGTAAGAAGTGACTAAATATAAAGACTTAGATCGTAAGATAATTTGATTACAAAATCGAGAAAAAAGGCGGCCTTCAAAAATATTGATTCTTCTGTCGTGACGTACACTCCCAAATTTCAAAATAACGAGGTTATACAGGCCAATATTTTTTCAGGGCACCTTTTTTCTCTATTTCTTGAACAAATTATCTTACGATTCAAGTAGAAAGCAAATGATTATTTACGTGTTTTTAGTGCCTAATTAATTAGACAAAGTTTACCCCCCCTCCAGATTGTAAAACGCCCAAATTCCAAGAGTTTTTGTAAATAAAATAGTTATAGGTTACGATGAGAAGAAACTACTTACAAAGTTTCAGACGGATGTTAATAATTAGATAAAAAGGGGTCTGTACCACGGACTATTATGGTTGTTCAAAAAATTGCTTTCAAAATTTTCTTCAGATAATGTCATTTTTTTTCCACGAGCTCTTGGATTATTAGAACTTGATGGCATTAGAGAGGGCCATTCAGGGTGGGTTCTTGCTGGGGTATACTAGTAAATATAATTTTTTGTTATTTTTTATATTATAAATTTTCTTTGTTTTTTTCTTTTGCAATTTTATTATTATTTTTGATGCCCCCTTTTCTTTCTTTGCCTTATCTATTGGCTTGCAAAGAGTTACCTAGCTAATTTGATATCAAGATCTCTGTACTGTAATCTATTCTAGTACATATTTTTAGTATCAGAGTAAAACTTAATCTTTTATTTTCAGGGATGAATTTTGCAATGACACAGATGAAAATTACCTTGTCAAAAGTATTGAGAAGAGTAAAACTTTCAACAGTCAAAAAAGACCTAAAATTTGAAAATCTTGAATTTGAAGCTATGCTACTGATGGAATTGAAGAACCCACCTTTTCTGAAAGTTGAGGAAAGAATTATGTGAATTTATCTTGTACCTAATTTTTTTATTGTATTTTTACTCCCTTAATGTATTAATTAAAAACTTAATTATAATTAAAATAGTATTCATCGTATAGATAAGATAACAATGTAATATTATTTAATTGTAATAATAATAACACAAATATCACCATCAATTGTAAATGGCTTCATTCATTTTTAGAAAGTCGAGATATAGCTCAATTTTATTATAATTCTGATGTGTTTGTTTTTCATTATAAAACTTGGTACTTCTTGCCTAAGGGGCCGCTACTGATACTATCTGCCGATGTTTATAACCTGAACACTGATAACTCCCATAACGCAGTGATAAGCCTTCTCCTACTTCACATCTTCGTATTATTGTATTAAATTCGTATTATTGAAGGTGTAAACAGATACAAAAACAAATGTAATTACAACAAAAATACTTTTATTAGACGACAAATATATTATAAAAATAAAAAAAAAAACACTTTAAGAAGATATGTACATATAAAACATCAAAATAAAAAAAAAAAAAAAAAATAAATTTAAAAGAACATATTTACATAGAAAAGAAAAAATATCAACACTATAAACAACATATATACAAATTATTTTAATTTAATTATTCACTTTCTTTTGTCTTATTTATTTTGGAAGGCAAAATTGTTTTATGCTATTCAAAATGGCGAGGAACGGGTTCTCTTCTCTGTGAACGGGCCAAAAACTAAAAATAAACACAAAGGGGCCAAAAGTAAAGAATTTAATAAGTGGACGTAATAAGGGAATAACTGAAAATTAAACAATGTAATAACTCAAAGGTTTGGCGGGATAAGAAGAGGGAGGTTATGTGACGTGGCGTTAGATAAGATAGATAAGAGGTGAGGTTTCAAAACGGCCGCTTAGACAAGAAGTAAAACATGAAATATTATTTTTAATTTTAATTTAAATTATATCATTTAGATTTGTTTTTTTAATCATGTTCAAAGAACATTTTGAAGATATGAGTTAATTGTGATTCTAACAATAGTCTTTTGTAATGTTTAAATTATATTAAATATATTGTGTATGTTTCAATATGTACTATTAATGTAAAATAAAGTAAGTACTCGATCCGATTCGAATCTAGGCTTAGTTGAAAAACGTTTACACCACAGCTACACAACACCTTTATTGTTCTACATAAACATCATACTATCAGGGACAAAGCACTACTACTGTGTGGGTAACCTTACTTAAGCCAAACTGATTTTTTTACAGCCTGATAACAAGCATTAACTCTACTAGTTATATTTGGTCTTTTTTCATAACTCCTAACACTGAAAGATAGTTAATTATTTAAAATAAACCAAATTAAAGGTACTTTAGAGGAAAACATGTTGAACATTGGGTATTTAAGCCCTGTAAAGTGACATCAATGACTAAATGTTAAAGACCACTTAATTATATTGTGATAACAATAATAGACTTAATGATAATAATGATAGACTTTACAACATCTCAATTTTCTATCTAACTATTCTATTCACACTATCTTAATTTTACTGTTTATTTCCATTTCTTATATAACTTCATATTTTTCTGTTTTTACATTTTATTCTAAGATTCTCATTTTAATACTTATGTCACCTTTTTTTTTTCTTCTTTCATTATGTTTACTTCATCATTCCACACTTTGTACCGCTTATTATCATTTATCTCTTTGCTCTTACTATTGTCATTATTCTAGCAACTGAATTATACTTTAATTTTTTTTTACCTATACTACTTATGTTTCTCATACCTTGTTATCTGGTTCTTTTCTTAGCCCTGATGATGGCCTGAACTTCAGGTCGAAACGTTGGCTAATGTCAAAATAAATAGTATCATTTATTTTTGCCTCCTTATTTGACTGATCACCCCAACTATTCTTCTCTCCATTAATTATACAATGATACACCAAGTTCAATCAAAATCGTGTTTCACTGCTAATATAAAGTGGCACTTCTGGTTATCCGATTTTAAGGAAAAAAAGTTGCTATCACACCCATGGCATATACCTATCATAAATACGTAATATCAGTTTCGTACGACTTTTCGTTTTTGAGCTAGACTGTTCACATAAACACACGCGCACAGACCATTTTGCAGGATTTGGTTATTAGGACTCAGGGTACCTCAAAACATGTATTTCTGTTGAAAACTAGATTAACCGAATTTAATCAAAATCGTTAGATCCGTTTTCGAGAAAATTGTAAAAATCTGTAAAAGTGATTACAAATAGTGCAACTTCCGGTTGACCGATTTTGGAAAAAAAAAGTGACTGTAACATCCCAGGCATATATAGATCATAAATATTTCACTATCAAATGACTTTTCGTTTTTGAGCTAGACTGATAACATGCAAAGAGACATACATACCGATTTGCGGGACTTGGTTATTTGGACACAGGGGACCTCAAAACTTGTATTTCCGTTGAAAACTCAGATTTGAAAAGTTTCACGATCGCAATACTTTCCCTTATTATATATTATATATATTGGTAGGTGAGTGTAAAAACAAACAAACAAATATAAAATGATGGTAGTAACTTTAATTTAAAATTTCCCGCGTGTTAGATCCCCAATAACTTCAAATGAGATTAATGGGGGCAAGATCTGAAAACCTTTATTAATAAAAATGGATAAATATAGTTGTAAGAGCGATTCGAAACGATTTAGTAAATTAAATCATATTGATTACAATTGTTAAAAGCTTCGAGACGTGTCTTAATAATCCTCTATATTTTTAAAACTAAAGTTTCAGCTGTCTCAGGACTCACTATAAATGCCTGATTTTAACCAGAGCAAACCATTAGAGATAAGAAAAATCTGGTGTGCCCCCTCACACGACTTTTCTACCTATTTTAGAAAATTCTTATATCTTTAAATATGTCCAAAACTAAAATAAATGAAAAAAATTGATTTAGATTAATTTTTCTGAAAATTGGTCAAAGAAAAGATTTAATTATGATTTATTTGATAAACTAAAACAATGTAAACCGGTTTAAAGGTAGATCAGTGTAAACATTTCAATACCCTCTAATATTGTTGGTCAAAAACTTTTTGCCAAACAATAATTTCTGTTAAAAGTAGAGGAAATAGTGAAACTTGTGTGATATTGGCAATAGATTTTGTTACTTTCACTTAGTCATCTTTTTTTCTCATTCATTTCTTTCCACTAGCGGATCCAGGATTTAATTTTCGGGGGGCTTCAGCCCGGAAGATTTTTTTTTCATATACATATAACGATAATTAATTTGAAAAAAAAGGAAAGAAATTAACTACCTATAAGAAATAGTGTTTCTTGAAGTGGTTCTTGAAATCTTATTAAATATAATTACACGAACGAGAATACGTTAAGAGGTAGTATTTAATATTTTTTTTCTGGGAAATATGGTTTTATTTTACCATTATGGGGGGCTTCAGCCCGAAAGCCCCTCCCCCCCCCCGTAGATCCGCCTGTGTTTCTTTCTGACACCACGATATATACCTGTAATCTTACATCGGAAATTTAATAGCTGTAATTTCGTTAATAGTTGTTCGAAATGAACGATTTTTATATTGTTTTGTAAGGAATTTCGTTATCTTAAAAAAAAAACATACTTAACTATGACAGACAGACCAATGGCTTAAAATGTGTTTTTCGGACTCAGGGAGATCTGAAACGTATAAATCCATCGAAAACCGCATTTCGTAAACTTTATCGCAATACTTTTCATACCTAGTTTATGTAGGAAATTAAAAAAAGATGATTTTCCTTCGTTCAACTATTATCTCATATCAAGGAATTATTAATGCGACAGTTACGTTAAAAGTTGCCGGATATGACGAAGAAATGATATCAGTTTGTCCCTGAAGCAATGATACTTCAAATGTTTACTTTAACTTTTCTCCTAATGTCCTACAGAACCATTAAGCGGCGCCGCTAGACTCAAGATTGTTGAGATTGTGATGCCTGCCATCATGGCCTTAATTTTCAGGCATTTAATTAATAATTTGTTAATACATTTCTCTCTTGGGACTCCTAACCTAGAACCCATAAGAAACCAGACGGGACCTGAATACAAGGAAAACTGTTGTTCATTCATCTAAACTTGACATTTAATCCTTTTGCTCAAACTCTACTGGTAATATTAGATTGGTGAGGAAGGCCTTTATCTAGGCAGTTGTCACTTAAACAGTTGTAAACTGATTGAACAGGTGCGAAGGAGCAGGAAGAGACAGCCCAGTTTGGATTTAAACAATTTCCATTTTAATATTAAATATAAAAATTATGGAAACGAAGTAGCTCAGAGAGGAAGGCACGGATTACCTATGCTCAAGTTGCTGGGCTCTAATCCGACTTATGGCATGTAATTATTTATTCTGTCACATTAACAGTGTACATTAATGAGACTGGGGACGGGAGATCCTCCTGAGGTGCACACAGACATTATTAAGTGATTTCACTTAATTAAATAATTAAATAATGAGAAAACCTGGCGGTTGAGCGTGTTTCTGGACAGAACGCCGGCCTGCTGATCTCAAGACCCTTCATGATTGTAGTGGTACAAGTTTTTTGAAGTGAAAATTTCTTTGGGTGTTTTGATTTCTTTTTTTGTGGAGAGTGAATTAGATTGACCCGTCAGATCTTAACACAGTAGGCTAGAGTCGACTAATTGAAATATCTTTATATATGGCTTAAAAATATCTCAGAAAATAAAAATCGGGCCTGCATACTGTATGCGAGAAAATTGTTCATCATTTCATCCTATCTGTAATAAGTTATAATTCAAAAATGTATCTTAACGCGACGCCGTGTTAGGGAGGCGAAAAGGAAAAAATAGTGTCCAAAACCAAATCATAACGATGTTAGTTGAATATATGGGTTAAAATATTTCAGATACTAAAAACCTAACCTGTATACTGTAAGAGAGGGAAATGTTCAGCATTTTGTCTCCTTTGCAATGAGCTATTATTCAAAATTATATCTTAACCCAAAACCGTGTTAGAGAGTAGGAGAGGGAAA